TACCATTGGTACGATAACGGATGTAAATGCCCTTATCTTCACCAAGGTCTGCTGTGGCCTTTTGGAGCATCACGCTGAAGAAGATTGTGAATAGAGTGGGTGCTAGAGCACAACCTTGTTTCACGCCATTGGTTAATGAGAAGGGCTCAGAGAGTGCATTGCCATACCTGACTTGGCCGTGCTGATCCTCATGTAACAGGATAATCATTCTGAAGAACTTGGGAGGACATCCTAATCGTTCCAAGATCTGCCACAGGCCTTTTCTGCTCACAAATACCGTAGTGAAATGGCTAAAACCAGTGGGAAAGACACACTTGCATATGTCAGGGCACGGACCTTACATGGCAAATGTATTCAGGCAGGCACACGGAAAAAATGCATTTCCATTTAAGTTGTGTAAAGCAATAATCCCTGTACACTAATGTTGCTTGGTAACAGGTTTACGTTCCCTGAGTACTCGAGGATGATATGGATTTAAAGGACTGGCCCCATTGTTGCAGGTGTGGAATGGTTTAGTGCCTCAGCTTAGATAGCAGCTGGCAGAAATGTGGACTAATTGGCACAATCCGTGGAAGTCTCCATGGAGGCACGGGTACAAGCAGCGCAGACAGAAGCTGGCCGTTTCCCCTCTTTGCTCTTTCTTCCAGGGAGGCGTTTCCCAGTTGCTCACTGCGCCGTGGGGGAGTCATGGTCCAGCGTCTTTCACCATCATTAGACTCAAAGATTAACATTCATCAAACTGATGTGTGGAACTACTCAAATAACCCATGGTACAAGCCCCTTAGTGTGACCAAGGATTGCCTTGTGCTTCAAAAACCTTAGCAGCCACTGGGTTTCAGTGTATAATCCAAAGTGGTTTCATTCAGGCTTCTGTTTTGACAGCCGTTCGGAAAGCCAATGTTTGAAAATTCATAGCTCTCCAGGAAAACACTGGCCTCCTGAAAGACAAAAAAAGTGGAAATTTGAAAGAAAACACTTAGGCTTATTTATTGAAGCCAAAGGGCTATTATCTTCTAAAATACAAAGAAATCTTTACACAGTGGAGGAATTATGCTTCAGGATTTACCTTCACACATTTGCATTTAAAAGGATCTTTCATTATGGTGGTTTTTGCTGGGTCTAGGTGGCTGGTTTTATTTTACTTCTAAAAACTCTGATGTATTTACTGTTCTTTGTTCGTAATGGTTAAAAGAAAATTAAAGGTTATTCTGAGAAAATCCAGACAGTCATTTCTGTGCCTCTTACTTCACAAATCAGCCCTTTACTGGCAAACAGATTTCCAGGCTTATTTATAAAGCATCAGTGACATTCAGTGTTCAGTTAAAGTACTGTAAGTTAGTCATTTTTACATGCTGTACACAGCTCTTCACCTTCAGAGCTTGCTTGTTTGGGGAGTTTTTGCTTTTTTTTTTTAAACTTGTGCCTCAAGGTTTCGAAATCTCATTTTGCTAAGTGACCACATACATACAGAGCTTCTAATTGGAATTTTGTGTTTGTTTCCTTCCAGGCTGTCGATATTCTTTTGCAGCACGGAGCTTACGTGAATGTTCAGGACGCAGTCTTTTTCACCCCCTTGCATATTGCTGCATACTACGGCCACGAGCAGGTAACTGAAAGGGGGGGTTCAGAACGCTGAGAAGCGGAATGCGGAGCAGCTACAGGTTTAGTGTGAGATCCTCCAGAGGGTCCTTCCATGACAAAACCTCCCACACCGAAGCTGCACTTCTAAGTCAGCCTCTGGTTGCTTTAAGAGATTTCTACACTTTAATCCCCTATAAGATTTCTACACTTTAATCCCCTGGGCTAGACCCTGGCAAAAATCGGTGTCTTCCCCTCTAGATGTCTCAAAACAAATGGTTGTCTCACTAGCTTTGATAACCTGTGAACAGGTTTGACCCAGAGGCATCTCTCGTGGGGAGTTTCCTCCTCCCACACTTCAGAGATTGCACCAGGAATGGGACTACGCTTTCTGAAACCTCTCCAAGGAAGTGACCACTACTTCCCAGTAATAATTACATGGCAATTTTATTGGTTTTCCTTGGAAATCATAAACTAAATTTTGGCCACTTTGAAGTTAGTGGAAAAGATGATCATTTAGAGAGCAGGATTTTCCAGGAGGTACTGAGCACATGACAAGCCCAACTGTGCTCTCCTTGTACACACAGATCCTGGACTTACTGAAACGTAATCTGGAGTTCTGACCAAAGTTGGCACTGAATCTCCCAATTCTTTTTCTTATACTAAAGCATAGTTGACATATGGTTAATCTAGCTTTTGCCCTGAATGGCCCTTTTATGTGAAATGTAATAATGGGTCTATTCCGACTTAGGCAAGTCATTCCCTATACCTTTGTTTGACTATTGGGATATTTTCAAGTTTCAAAGGATGACCTCCAGGTAGAGTACATTTTTCATTCCCGTGACATGTTACTTCAAGTATGTTGGGGAGTTGTTGTAGCAAAAGCTTTTGAAAGAATAGAGTCTGGAAGCAGAGAGGATTGAAAACTCTCTGTTTCCGCGGCCGAGTGACAGCAAGGCTGCAAACCACTGGTATGCTCCTGAGATGCTTCTTGTCATATATATGCACCTCATCATCAGTAACACAAAGAAAGTACCTGCATGTTGGGCTGAGAGATTAGTTTACTTATTTGCCATAAGCCACTTCCGAACAAACAGTCACAGCCACGTGAAATTATGCTAAAAGCTCGAATGGTTCTCTTGTGATAAGAGACACAGAGCCGAGAGGAAGCTGAAGTGCCGCCATTTGTGGACTTTGGGGATGTTCACTTTATTATGCTGCCTGGTCGTTAAGCAAATACGTGTCTTGTGTCTCACCTTTTACCTTACATAGCATTTTAGAGAATGAATGAGCACTTACTCTTGAGAATTTTAATATTTTTATAGGTATGTAACTTAAAAATAAGTTTTTTCTTGAATCTCCTCTCCCTCTATTAACTTTAAAGCGATGCCCATATATAATGTCACCCAATGTAATATTCTATCTGATTTTGTCAGAAGATTTGTTTGCATGTGGCATTTTAATTAACTTTAACGAAATGTTTAGGTAACTCACCTCTTACTGAAGTTCGGAGCTGATGTGAACGCAAGCGGTGAAGTTGGAGACAGACCTCTCCATTTGGCTTCTGCCAAAGGCTTTCTCAACATTACAAAGCTCTTGATGGAAGAGGGAAGCAAAGCTGATGGTAAGAAAAGATACTTTTAAAAATCAATTTCAGCATTGTATTTTATACATAGTCAGGACTTGAATCTTAAATTTAGCTTCCTATCATGCACCCTGTGTGTGTTTGTGGATCATCTCTGGGCAACTGAAACAAAAAATACAGCAGTTGGAGAGTTTTCTTCACTTGCTTGGTTTGTCATCTCATATGCATTCTGTTTTCATTAATAAGTTAGCAGTGAAAAACAGCAGCAGGAAACAAAATTAAGATTAATACGCAGCAGTAGTTTGCTATTGAGATATTCATCCCATCACAGAACTCGTGGCTGTGTGGTGTGTATCTCTAATCAAAAAGACTTAAATGTATAGTGAATTCCTAGTGAATAAGATACAGGTGAAGGATTTTAAAGATTATACAGCAAGTAATTTAAAATAATCCAGATGAGAAACTGAAATCTTTCACAAACAATTCCATAGAAAATCAGATCTTTTTAGCACGTGCTTTTTTAGGCTTCACGCACTTCATTGTGGGACATTTTCTGTAAGAGAAAGTGTGTGGGGGAAGAGACGTAGCGGATTCGGTATTGTGTGAGGGGTGGGAACGTGTGTGTGCTCTTTTACAGGTGATCCCACATGGATGCCAGCAAGACTGTAACATCACAGCTCAGTGCTGTGCAGTCTGCATGTGCCACAGTTCAAAATTTTCCCTTGTAATTAGTACTAGAGTGCAATCAGCAGCACTGCTCAATTCCTGTACTTTCTCTTTTGTTTGCACTCCTGTGCTGTCGCAATAACGTGGAAGGCAGCAGACCTACTGCGCTCCAGCCTTACTTCTCTCTCTCTGTGAGCCTTGCATCACAGGCATGTGCAGACTAACGCACTTGTGGCCACATCCTACAGTCTTATGCTAATAGAGGTCAAATTTTATGTATATTGGGGAGACTAATGCAGAGATTCTTAAATAGGAAATGGCATTAAATTAATGGAAATTATTCTCTTATCCTCAGAATAAGAGAAAGATTTTTGAAAAAGAACAGCACATTACTTCCAATAGTGCCGCTTTTTAATGCATTTTTGGATTACACCATTACTCAACTTATATCCATAACACACAAGGTAAAATTCTGGTCCCCTTGAAGTCTACGGCAAAGCTTGCATTAGGAACCAGATGTGTGCACCTGCCCTGTTCCCTCTCCGCTAGCGGCATGGGAATGGTGTTTCTCCCTAGTTGCCACTTCTCTGTTAGGTTTTAACAGTATGAATTTACCATATTCTCTGTGAGCCTTGCCCACGGTGCACACATCAGTAAGAAAAGCGTGGAGGGAAGCAGCTTGGCTCAGATCTGTAAGTACTTTTTCAGCAGTGAGCTCTTGAAGTGTCGGTCTCAAGGCGTGCGCATGGAACTGATGTAATTCTAACGACAAGGAGAGAAGAACAGAGGTTTGCTCACCGTAACGAGGCAGTAGGAGATTCACTATCAATTAGATAGTTTATTCCAAAAAGGAAAGGAATCTGGGACGCTGTTTCAGATTCTTTTCTCCAAGATCAGAATCTCCAGCACTGGAAAAAGAAAGAGGAGACTGGCAGCGGGAAGTCTTTTCCTCATGAAGCAGACGTTTTGAAACTTGGTATAAATACAGCGGCGGAGGAACAACTCTTAAATGCCTAGGAATGGAAGTAATTGCTGAAATAGCCTGAAGAAATTTTGGCAGTATTCTGTGCAGACCAGTAATTGGTGTCACAAACTTCAACTATTTCTTTTAACACAACCTGAGCAAGTCGTTGATCAGCTCCAAGGCCATGGCAACCGAAGCAAAGCAGCGACCACTGAAGCGGGCTGAAAAGATCAGAAAGCTGCTGAAATAGGGCAGCGCTGGCAGCCGGACGGCAGCCAAAGCTCTGCTCAAACCCAACCACACCACGTAGGGAAAACACATAAAAGAAATGTAGTGCCCATGTATGTATCGTCCCAAATGTTCATGTTTTACACGAGCTTGTGTGTAAATCCAATATGCTACAGGTACAGCTGGTTCTCCGGATGCTAATCTCACAATTTATTTTAACATAAACACTGCAGGGAAGGACTAAATAGGTTCTGAGCATTTTTAGAAATTCTTTCAACCAAATTTCTTGTGGTATTGATCAGATTCCTTAAAGCTCCACATTTGTGATCATTAATGAACCTCAAAGACGGGCATACCATCACAAGATGTGATCGCTTAAAGTGCCTTAACTACCCTGAGATTTTTACTAACTGATTTATCATGGAATTTCTCATTGCTATTTTTAACAATTTCTATTTCATTCTTTCTTTTTCCACACCTTCCAGACTCCTAGAGATATTTATGCATTACTGAGTCAATATGTTTGCTACCAACTTGCGTTATTTTTTCTGTCAGGAAATTTTTATATTGTAGAACATCCAAATGGTTCAATACAGCAACAGGTAGGGTACGAAGTATCACTTCATAATTTTTGATTCATTCTTGTAATCAGTAGATTTTTTTCTAGGATAATTCTAATGAAGAAAACAGATAAGGTTTTTTTTCTTAGAGTAGAAAAGGAAGTTCATCACAGGGAGAAACCTTCAGTATTCCTAAATTGCCATTCTGCCATTTTTTTTTCTCATCTCATAGGACTGAACTAATATTTTTTTAATGAAATAATGGTAATTAAGAATTGTCAGTATGTTCCACTCGTTTTTTACATTCCTTTTCTTTGAAATCAGGGAGGGCCTGGAAATAATTGCTTCTCAAATGCCTGAATGTAGAAGTAGGAATTCTAATGTAGATGTTTGCATGACTTCAAAAATTGTTCCTTTCAAAATGAGAGAAAAAACTCATATTTAAAAAACTACTCAGCAGCCTGATGGGGTCACTAAGAAACAGAATGTCTACGAGCTTAGAGAACTGCTTGGTGGCCTGGAAACAAACTTTTCCTTTGCTTCACAGAAGCTAAATGCTACTTTTTTATTATTCTCCAAACTGGCGTTCCTGGAGATTTATTTCAGTGATGCCATGATATAAAATATGTTCTTTGTCTATGTAATTGCTATGGTCTTTTAATATAATTTGTCTGCTCTCAGGACTACTGAGCTACCTGGACTTGCAGACCCTATTTTCAAGTATCTTTGGAAATCACTGTCACCTCTGCCAAATACAATCGATTCTAAATTTAAAACCAGAGCTCGATATTAAAAATCCAGGCATGTTCAGTCGTGCTCCTCTGAATATTAAACAGTTATCACTCATTGGGACTTGGGGGCAATTTCCTTTATTCTTTTAAAACAGACTTGAACTGTCTTTTATTCATCCTTTTACTTACTGTGATGGTTTCACTGTTACCTTCCACATATGTAATGTCCCGGTGTTAAGAATAATTTCTGGAGCAGCCCATTTTGCTCCAGACAAGAACTGAACATTTGCTCATTTTAACTGGTTACTTGTACAACAATCTGAATTTTTGTCTCTGACTGCCATGCAGTTGTACTATCTATCCTCAATTTAAGATAAAAATACTTTCAGATTTCAATCTGAAGAATTCTCCTATATTCTTCTTTAGAAAATCCTAATCATTATGATGTACTCTTTTGCAACAACTCTGTTCTGGAGGGGTCTTGACTGATTTTGTTTTGACTCTCAACTTCTCCTTTTTAAGACATGTCATGTCTCATGTAGAAATCAAAAAACTCTCCATTAAAACCAAATCCTTGGTCCCATGTTGTAGCTGTACATCCTCCCGGAGGCCTGCGAGTATTGGACGTCATTTCCAGCTGCACAGATGAAGGAGAAATCTGCAGTTCCCTCCTTGCTCCACCTCAGTCCTTGTTGTGTTGTAGAAGCTCACGGCCCTGAGACCCCTGACGTCCTTCAGGCCATTCTGTGGGGTCACATTCTAAGGCACTGACATTTATTATTATAGAACTTTGACATTTATTCCCCTCTTATTCATTGCACTTCAGAATGAGTCCGTGTCTGGCACTGCATCACAATAACAAACAAAGGCCGACAGGGCACAGAAAGTGAAGAATTGTTTTAGAAGTAAAACAGTTTTCTTTATTCCTTTTAACACAAGACTGCTAGGAAGGTTAGTGGGAGCAATTCATGAAATCCGGAGGCCAGAAGCTTAATATAAGTTAGAGGATTTCCTTTTTTTCCTTTTTTTTTTTTCTGAAATTCCTCTTTGGATCTGTCTGACACTAGACATCAGTGAAGTTACAAGTGCAGTTTGTTTGAGAGGACGGTCCATTTCTGTCAGCATTCAGCATTGCATCAGAAAGGTTTCAAACCAGGCAGGGATTTGTTTTAATTTTGACTGTTCTTTAGGCTCACAGAAAGAGAAGACAGAACCTGCGACTGTGTCCCTAAGGGACTCAGCTGCAGGAAGGAGCTGTTTCTGGGAGATGTTTGTCAAAGTTGTGCTTAAAAGACCCTGTAGCACAGGTTTGGACACCTCTAGTGGACACATTGTTCCTCAATATCCATTAATTGCTTATAAACTGTTTCAGTTGGACTGGATTGAGAAGTAAATGTTGCCTGAAGTGGACTGGATCTGTTGTTTTTGCCAGCTGTGGTGTCAGCCAGCTGTGGCCCTTCCATCTTCACGCACAGAAAGAAGCACACAAAGAATCACAGAAATACGTGCTCTTTTTAAAAAATGATTAAAGAAACTGCTTTTGCAGGCAGAAGGATACAGGCCTTGGTCTTCAGAAATTTAGAAAAAAATACTTCTAGTATATAAATTTGTATAAGTTTTGTGCAACATAGACATTGCGTCATTTTGTGACATAAAGCGCTGGAAAGGAAAAACTTTCAAACAGAGCAAGACCTTTGTATCACACCTTGTTTTTTTCCCATGTGAAATTATATTGAACTAACAGAGATAAACACCATTCCCACCCAACTATAATATGCTATGTCCCTAATTTTCCCCACTCTTTTATATGGGTTCATGCCATGTCAAAGACTACTCCCATCCTCTTAAACATGTGAAGCACACACATAATCACACTTGCAAGTGAAAGGAGATTGAGCAAAATGAAAACACTGGAAATCCGGGCATTTGAATGATTTCTCCTGTTCCTTTTTTGCCTTTTATGTACTTATATTTTAGTAGTAACTACGAATAAATCAAAAATTATGTTTCTTACTAGTATTAGTAGCTACTGTTCCATGCATTGGGAGTAACTCAGTAGATTGCTTTCTTACATATAGCAACTGGCTGACTTACTTTTGCTCCACCTTGTAATATACTGACAGAAGTTGCTCTTTCTAAGGGTCATTTACAACTCGTGATTCAGTTACGGAAAGCTACATCACAATACTAAGTGCATCTGCTAGTGGAAGCAGGCAATCATACCCTAAATCCAAGAAACCATCCTGACCGTCGGCTGCAGGTGACTCTGAGTAATGTAGTTTTGATATATGGAAGCTTACAGAAATCTCCATTTTGAAGAAACAGAACCATAAATATTTTAGTAGAAGGTTTCAAAATGTGTAGGCACAACACCTAAAACATTACTAAATATCCCAAACGAGCAATGTTAATTATAAAGGGCTTTCTGTGGTCTCTCTCTGGATCAAATGACAGTGAATGCTCAGGACAATGAAGATCATGTTCCTCTGCACTTCTGCTGTCGGTTTGGACACCATGAAATTGTGAAGTTCTTATTGCAGAGCAGCTTCGAAGTTCAGCCCCACGTGGTGAATATCTACGGAGACACACCTCTACACCTGTGAGTGGCGCGCAGAAGCTCTGGTTTGGGGGCTCATTACAAAGCTGGTGGTGTTAACAGCTCTTCACTGACTTTTCAGCGCATGCTACAATGGGAAGTTTGAAGTTGTCAAGGAAATAATTCAGCTCTCAGGAACAGAAAGTCTGGCTAAGGAAAATATATTCAGCGAAACGGCTTTCCACAGGTGAGAGGTTTAAATCACCATTATGAGCAGAATTCCACTTGTGCACGCACGCAGTGCAGCACCCGACACAACAAACGCCTCCCCGACAGCCAGGCGAGGAGCCAAGAGAGCGGTGACTCCCTCGAGTCTTGGGATGCAGGAGAGGGCACCAAGCAAGGAGTAGAACCAGACAGTGAACAGGGGCAGAGGGAGCAAGCGAGAGGCAGAAGGGTGGGAGAGGCATCGGGCTCATCAGCGCCTGCATGAACAGAGTCTGGGTGCTCCAACCTTGACACGAGGGGGCCGAGCACAGGTCGGTCGTGACGCTGCAAGTTTGTGAAATGTTGTGTACAAGGCACTTTGCAAACTGGGCTGAGCTGATTTTACATAGATGTGCAAATACATTTATACAAAAATAACTAGAATGTTTCTGAAACAACAGAAATGAACGGCTTTGATGGGTTAAACATGCAATTGTACATTTCTGGAGACCCTTTGTTCTATTACTACATGTATGCCTCTGTGTAATTATTTTTAAATTTTTGCCTACCTAAAGTATTCATCCTTTTATGGACTATAGCATTCACTTCTCCCTTTACTTTTGCAGTGCTTGCACCTACGGAAAGAACATAGAACTTGTAAAATTTCTTCTTGACCAGAATGTTGTGAGCATCAATCACCAGGGAAGAGATGGACACACAGGTAACATCATCTTCCCAACGGTGCATGAGTGCACACAGCAGCACCAAGCAATTTGGAAGCCATGCACAGTCTGAGTTTTGAGGGTAATCCCCACGGTAATCTGACGATCAGCACCCCGGTCTCATCACCTTTCAGACAGACCCCAGCTTTTGAAATATGTTTGCAGACTGGCATAAAAGCAATGAGAGCTTAGTGAGGGTGTGTGTATATGAGTAACAAAACCTGACGGAAGCCGATTCTCCCATCATTAGGCTTCTAAGTGGTTTTAAGGATTGGGTCCAAGTATCATTCTGGCAGGGACTAGGCACAGAGGATATAGTGTCTGCACACCTCCACAGGCCGTCAAAAAAAAGAGCCTTTTTTGTTTCTCCTTGCACGTACAAAGTTGTTAAATGTGACTTGCAGGTGGTAGAGTAAATCCTGACATGCTGTGTAGAAAGCAATAGATTGGTTCTTGCAGCATTAATATTTTATTTTCACCTATTGCCTTGGGTGGTTTTTTGATAATATATTCCTTTATCCAGGAAATGAATTTGCTGCAGGTCCCATTGTGCTGTTCTCACAGCCGTGCTCACCACACTTCTCTGATGTTCCAGGATTACACTGTGCTTGCTACCACGGTCACATCCGACTCGTACAGTTTTTACTGGATAATGGAGCCGACATGAATCTGGTAGCTTGTGATCCCAGCAGGTCCAGTGGAGAAAAGGATGAACAGACCTGTTTGATGTGGGCTTATGAGAAAGGTATTTCAATTTTCTAGTTTCTGCCACAAAACACGTAGGGGCTGTACAGGAAGGAGAGAACAGCCCGGGAAGGACCTGACACGTGACACAGCCGCCCAGTCCCTGCAGGCTAGGAGCTCTCACCATCTGCTTGCCAATTCCTGGCACAAAGGGCTGTAGAAACCAGCCCTTTTATTTATCTTCTCAGATTCTCTGTTAAACATTCAGTTTAATTCAAGGCACACTCAAGGACGGGAGTATTTATGTGCTGCTGAAACAGAAAACACATCACCTGCTCAGAAAACTCTACTTGAGTTCTAATTCTATGAGTGAAGGAAGCATTAAAAGAGGCAAGGAATCAGAGTCAGTAATCTTAAATTCTTCCAAATACGGACCAAAGGAAAGCATTTTCCACGATCCCTGCTATACTTTCCTATGTGTACAGCCGTGTGTCCTGGTTTTGACCCCATGACTTCTGGGATGTTTCCCCCTCCTCTGCTACAAGAATGACTGTAATATAGTAAATCTGTGGAATTCAAAAGCCTTTCAAAAACCTGATGTCAGCGAAATACTCTGTATGAAATTACTGAGCCAAGTGTTTATATCTTTGAAAAGCTTATGAATGAATTTTGAATATTACCAAGCAGAACTTTGCGGATCAGACACCTCGGAGAGGGAGGACGTTGGGCACAAGCTGCTCCCTCCTGGCACTCGCAAAGCGAGTGACGAATTCAGCCAACGGCAGCGAGGGGTGCAAAGTTTGTCCGGCCCAGGAAACCAAAACTGAAGTATTTTCCTGCATTGGTTTTTCTTCTAAGGCCTGTTGAAGCCTACAGCCAACTTCCATTTTAGGATTTCTGTAGCAGGGCTTTTTCCATTGCTACGTATCACATTTCAGGGTTAGGTGGACTCACCAAAACGGCGTGCTTTATTTCTCTGGCAGGTATTTCCACATATTTCTGGGGTTAAGAATCACAGCACTGTTCAGATTAGCCCCAACGTATCTTTGTTTACGTGTTTTATAAGAACATTGTATATTTTTTTAAAAAGTCCCCTCATTTTTATATAAATAATTTTTTTTAAAAAAAAAGATTATGTAGTTTACCTGCAAATGCTTTTATTTCCCGTTTCTCAGGTCATGATGCCATTGTGACCCTCCTGAAGCACTATAAGAGACCTCAGGATGAGTCACCCTGTAACGAGTACTCGCAGCCTGGAGGAGGTAAGGGCTGGGAGAGCACCTTCTCTCTGGCTGAGGGGCCTGATCCAAAGCTCGCTGGAGTCTCTGAAAATGTTCCACTGATGTTGGGGAGCTTTGGATCGGTTCTGTCAGGCACAAAGGAAATGAGTGTCAGGAGAACCACCATTCTTAAAATCCTCTCTATTTATGTCAGAAGTCTTCCTTTTTCTTAAAAGAGAGTTGTCACTTTATGTTACTCACTAGAAAGGAAAGCTAAAAGCTGTGAGATGAAGATCAATCCCTAGTAATCATTGCTCGTACCTTTTTACACCCTTAATACCTGGTGTAGCCATTCTCTTTGTGTTGTTTACCTGTGATGTTTCTTTGATTTCTGACACTCAGTGTATCTCTATACTCAGTCCCCTTCATATTTTTTAATAGCTTTGGATATCCAGCTCCCCCTTGGGAAGAATTAATTACCATTTTTGCTAAAAAGATGCTCATTTGTATGGTCAGCTAAGTGACAAATGCCAAGGAGAATGCTAGCACAGGCAGTTAGGTCAAGGTCAGGCCGTATTGCAGTGTGCTGGGATGTGTTGGTTGGCTGGTTGGTTGGTTGAGGGGGTGGACGTGCTCCACGTTGGGTTGTCCTGTCGCTGATTCCCACTCCAAGCAGGAGGAGCCCAGCAGACCAGCTGGGCCCACCGGCTCCACACAGCTTGACCTATCCCAGGCTTGGGTGTGGAATATCTCGAGTGCATGTAAATCTTGAGGGGACTGAGTTTATACATGTAGAAGAAATTCACTTTGGCAAGCAATTAACACACACAGACAGATTTTGTAATGCTGCCTGCTAAAAGAACTCAGCTTCCTCCTAAGCAGAAAAACAAGAGATGAAATATTTTGGTACGTGGAGATAGCTGAGATCTTTTGGAAAAATCTAACCGGTGGATCAAGCAGTGGGGTGTGTACTCAGGCCAGTTGTCAGAAGCTGTGAATCTGATCTGGGTCTCTTCACAAAGTCCAGCTGGTACAAAAGGCTACTCTGCAGCCTCTAGGACTGGTGGCGGCTGGTGTGGGTCGGCAGCATTCAGTGTAGCTCTGTACCCATTGTTTTGAAGAACACAGCAATATAACCTCACAGTCATACCTGTTTGTGTGCTTACGGCTATTTTCACTTCTTTATTATTCATTCTTTAAGCAATCCCTCGTTAATATATCAGTACAGATGCTTATACTGTCTTCGAATTCCACAAAATTCATTCCGTTCTTCTATTTCAGATGGTTCCTATGTGTCAGTTCCATCCCCACTAGGGAAGATTAAAAACATGACTAAAGGTATTTTCCGTCGTGGTGGAAAACGTGAAGCTTTATGATGTTTTTACCCAAGGTGTTTGTCAGCCTGAACACACAACACAAAATTCATTATTCCTGGAATTTTCATTGTTCTGAAATGTAATGACGTGCATCAGCAGCAGCTCTATTTCCCTAGGATAATTTTAGGAAGCAATATGCTTAGCTTTGCTGCTCGGCATCATGATAATTTCTGTATTTATCTTATTTTATCTGGCTTTGAAAAATTTATTTTTATTTCTTTAGAGAAAAGGATGCAATTGTGAATTAGTGCTAATGAGATACATACATAGCCATAAATGCAAAAAAGTATTATACTGAATTCCACTGTAAAATGCCTGCATTATCTTTACAGGAGAAAATGTCTCCAAAAATAATTTACTTTAGCCTGAAACACATATAGATAAAAAAATCAGATGAATATTTGTACTTTAAAATATTTCGATTTTTGTGGTGCTTTCAATTTTCCACACCAAATATTCACTCTGAATATAATCAGGTGCTTATATCCTTTACACAGCAGCATTGAAATGTTCCATCTAGAAACATTCTGATAAAGTTTTTACTAATAAACTAAAAAGGTCAGCAAGGTAGAGTTGCTTGCTAACTAAATTAAGTTGCAAAATTTAGATTCTAAATGTCTCTAAAGAGCCAGTCAGATCTGGAATAACATCCCCTGCATTAGTAAAGAGCACAAGCTACATGGAAGAAAAGGAACTAATTCTCCATGTAACAAATTTTTATGCAACTACCCCTGATAGAGGCTGAATGTGCTCGTGGGACAGCGTTCGTCAGGGATGAGATTTGAAAGCTGAGAAAGCCCAAGGCAGCTGCAGCGTTGTGTCTGTCTGCTGCTGGGCTTTACTGTGTTCACTGAAGAGAAGGGAGTAGGATTACCAGTCAGCCTGCTTATAGGAGGAAAATCAGCTTTTCTGTGCAGTGGTTTTGTGAAGTTAAATGCTTATGTTCTGCCCTTCCCTGTGACCCTGACTTTTGTGAGTGAGATAAGTGTTTTCTCTTGCAGAAAAGGCAGATGTTCTGCTCCTCCGTGCCGGTTTGCCATCGCATTTCCATCTTCAGCTCTCTGAAATAGAGTTCCATGAGATTATTGGCTCAGGTACCAGAAATAAAAACATACTGTCTTCAGTGTCTGATGTTCGTAATAAATATCTTTGCACTTATTTATTTTAAACACTTTTAGGGTCTTTTGGAAAAGTATATAAGGGACGATGCAGAAATAAAATCGTTGCAATCAAACGGTAAGTTTATCAGACTTTTCCATCTTCTTTGGTGAATGACCGAGACTAAACTATTACAAAAAAATCCTGATTTTGTGATATTTTTGCCATACTGTTTCCTTTTGTGTAAATTCTAAGCTATCGAGCCAACACCTACTGCTCCAAATCTGATGTAGACATGTTCTGCCGTGAGGTTTCCATTCTCTGCCGACTGAACCACCCGTGTGTCATCCAGTTTGTGGGAGCTTGCTTGGACGACCCCAGCCAGTTTGCGATCGTCACCCAGTACATCTCTGGAGGATCGCTCTTTTCCCTGCTTCACGAGCAGAAGAGGTATTCCACTCCTTCTCTGCATGGCTTGTGCGACAGAATTTGGAAGTCCGGCAAATCTATGCTGATGTGGATGTTATTCATTTCAGCAGAAAACGGTAGAGAAAGGAGTACCTGTAGTGACAGGCCAAGGGGCAGTGAGGGGAAGCTGGA